AATAAATAAATAAGATATCATCACCGTGGGGAGGGGGGCGATGATAACTTCCTCAATGGCCAATGGCTCAAGGGGGCATTTCTTTCAAAAAGGTTAAGAACCACTGCTTTAGCATACTATGCTTTCATCCATCTTACATCCTGCTTATACTGTATAATATACTTAGTCTAATGTAGCTCTAAACTTGCTGTAAAGAGATGTAGTGTTTTCAGACACATCACAGACTTCAACAATAAGTGTACGCTGCAACTGCAAATATCTATTTCTTTTAACATGAACGTTTTATTAGTTTTATATTTTTAAAATATGAATGTTAAGCATTTTTTTTCATTTTGCTGCACAAAAATGCCCTGAGGATATATTTACAATCATATATATGCTCTTTCTTTGAAAGGCTGCAGCGAGAGCGTGATCTGCACGCCCTCAGAGAGCAATCTTCAGGTGTGTGGGGGGGATTGTCCAGTGATTGGTGCTGCTGGAAGGCAAGGGCATCACTTACTCAGAACAAAACCGCTACCTCCACACCTGAAGGTTGGTGCTGCTAGAAGGCAATGGTGTGCTCTGTCTTGTGGGCTGCATGCAGTTGGTCTGGTTGTTGGTTTCCCCCAGACTGCCACCCGGTGCATTTTTCATTGCTCCCTGAAGGGCACGCAGATCGCGCTCTCCCTGCAACCTTTGGAAGATTGGAAGAGAGAGCAGGACATTCCTCTGTGAACTCTGGCAACCTGTCATCAGAGTGCGTTGCAGGCAGCAGTGTTGGCTGAATTGGCTGCTTGTTTGAAGGACTCGCCAGCTTTCATTGCTAACCTGTCCTTGCTTTGGCCGAGGAAAGACAAAGGGAGGTGTGGCGGGTGGGAAGGGGAGACTCGGAGGCATGCTGTGCTGCTGATGACATCCGGAGTTGTTCCCTCACGTGATGGAGGTGGGTTTGTCTTCCCTTTCGGCTTTTCCCTCTCCAGATGTGAGAAGCCCTGCCAGGCACTCGTCTGCAGGGAAGGGACCATTACGTGTCTTGGCTGCCTCCTTATGATCGCTTGTCCCAGCCTACCTGCTCGCCTATGGGTCTTCGGAGGCATGCTGTGCCGCTGATGACATCCGGAGTTGTTCCCTCACGTGATGGAGGTGGGTTTGTCTTCCCTTTCGGCTTTTCCCTCTCCAGATGTGAGAAGCCCTGCCAGGCACTCGTCTGCAGGGAAGGGACCATTACGTGTCTTGGCTGCCTCCTTATGATCGCTTGTCCCAGCCTACCTGCTCGCCTATGGGTCTCAAGCCAAAAAAGGCTGCAGAGTTCGCTCGCTTGTCCCAGCCTACCCACTCGCCTACGGGTCTCAAGCCAAAAAAGGCTGCAGGATTCGCATGGTGTGCTCTTACTGGGAAACAATGCTCCATACCCCCCCCCCAGTTGCTTCCCCCCTACACTTTATTTGCAAAACGTGGAGGGGGAAAGCAGGGATCTTTGATCCCTGCTTTTCCCATCCATGTTTTGCAAATAAAGTGTAGGGGGAAGGCAAGCGGGGGAGTACGGAGCATTGTTTCCCAGTAAGAGCACACCATGCAAACTTGATTCCTCCCCCTCCTTACTTTCGTGTATAAAACGACCCCCCATTTTCCCTCAAATTATTTTAGGAAAAAGTGTTGTTTTATACACGGAAAGATACGGTACTGGTCACACAACCCAAAAACCTGGGATTTGACCTGTGTTAAGAACAGTGCTGAGTTTCACGTTCACACAATGATTTCCAAAGTGCGTATTTTCTCTCCCTGACTTGTTTCATTTCTTTAGGAAGCAAGTTAAAATAAATGGCCACCACAGGGCTGTTTATTTTAGCACACTTTTCTTAATCGATTTTGTCACTTGCGATCTTGGCAGCCAGTTTTAATCTTCTCCATGCATACCTGAATTAACACCACCAGGTAGTGCTCTAATCAACTTTTTTCTCTCCTTTGTGGAAAAAGTCATGTGTACGTTAACAGAAGAAGTAGGAATGCAGGAAACACATCAAAAACCATGAGACTTGATTTGTCTTAAAATTAAAATGCTCCATATTGTATGTGTGTGTTTTAAATGTAGACAGGTTACTTGTTAGTACTAAGTTTGTTATTCCAAGATTGCTGCTAAAACTTCTAGTCCAGGATGAAAAATAGAAAACATACTGTAGATGTATCTTACTGTGATGTAACTGGCAATATCACCGAGTAAATTGGCATTTAATCTGTCATGAACTGAATCTATTTATGAGCTATTTCAGTTTATTTTAGGATTTAAATGAATTACTTGTTCAGTTTCTTTCTGATACAATAACCATAGTGTGCTTTCCCTAGATGATATTCAAAATACTTCTAAGGTATATTCTTCAAGTAATTTAAAAGATAAAGAAACAGTGGAAACTACCTTTCCAGTTTTACAAATTGAACACTGTAATAAGTTTGCAAGTTTCTGTGATGAAGAACATGGGTAAATATAATCATTTTTCACTGACTGCTTCTTAAGTTTATATTATGTTTAAGAGAATCATATATGTGCAAAATTTTATGATAGGTGACTGCTTTTAAAATGTCATAGTAACTCAAGAAGGTTTTGTATAGAGGACATTCATGTAGTATAAGTATAGTGTCAAATACCTTAATACAAAATCAGTAAATTGCAAATTAATCCAAGTACCTATAAATTGAAATTCTGTTGCTTAGCATTGCAAGTTAAAACTAGAGGAGGTATATTGAATCAGTGTGGATTTTGTGAGTCAGCTCTTCCATATGTTCCATTTATTCAAATGGCCTTTTCTGGTTGCTTCCTAATGCGCTAAGCAACAGGATTTCAGCCATAGCAATATAACTTCTAATGCCAAAATAATGTCCACTAATTATGCCTACATAAGGATAATGACATCACCAGCAGTTGGAGACTCTTGTAAATTAAAGAGTTTCACCTTCGATACCAGGGTTTTCAGAGTAGCTTACAATCAGGCTCATTACATGTGAGTGTGACAAACCTTTAGATTGACCAGCAATGCTCTCCTGCTGGTTATGTCATCACCTTTACACAAGGGTTTACAGAACTGAATTTTGGCCAGTATTTAAATTTTGTTGTTTTTAATTGAGATGACAAACAAATACAGAGCAGTCAAAGGAATACAAATACAGGGGGGTGTGTGTGTGAGAAAAAACAAGTGGAAGTGTTTTCAATAATATAATAATATATAGTACAGTCTTGGCTCTATGGCTGTGTTATAATACTCAAATCCGTAACATATGCTATATTCTCTATTCATGTTTGTTTCTGAGCCCAATCATAAAACATTTTCCAGCTTTCTTTAACATATATTCTCGGGTTGTCACGTAATGCCTCTGACAGGCTATCCATCTCTGCAATATCCAATAATTCTTTAATCAGCTCCTTTACCTTCGGAGTTTCCTGATTTTTCCATTTTTGGGCCCAGAATCCGTAACATATGCTATATTCTCTATTCATGTTTGTTTCTGAGCCCAATCATAAAACATTTTCCAGCTTTCTTTAACATATATTCTCGGGTTGTCACGTAATGCCTCTGACAGGCTATCCATCTCTGCAATATCCAATAATTCTTTAATCAGCTCCTTTACCTTCGGAGTTTCCTGATTTTTCCATTTTTGGGCCCAGATCAACCATACTACCTTCGGAGTTTCTTGATTTTTCCATTTTTGGGCCCAGATCAACCATACAGCCGTACATGGCATGACCCTGGCTTAGGCTGCTGGGAAGCAATGTCTTATCATTCTACTTCCCTCTCACCTGCTATTGTTGATTCTGTACCTTTCTCCCAAACATGAAGTAGTTTAAAGGTTAAGATGAGATTATTGTGTTCATTCGAGTCGACTATGAAGCAAAAAATACAAAAAACCACAACAAAACTAACCTTGGTTTTATATATAGAATTTCAAACTCAAGTTACAAGGATTCTTTGCATTATATGTATGAAAATCCTGTCTCAGTCTACCTGTAATGAAGAAAATTCTCTTTTTGCTCGTGTGTGTTTTGAATATATATCCCATTTCTCCTCTTGTTTTAACTTAGTTTTACTCCTGTGAATGCCCGATGCTTGTGGATCGGAAGCTCTACTGGTTTATTCATAATAAACATGGCAAACTTTGAACTGGAAGCCGTTTTACACTATTCCGGTATAATATATGTTTATTATCATTTGCTCTACAATCACAGGATGTGTTTTACACTATTCCGGTATAATATAAGTTTACATATTATCATTTGCTCTACAATCACAGGATGGTATGTGCATATATACAGTACACAGATATTTAGAAATAAAAAATGTAAAGTGAGCATTTTTGTTTTAAAACGCCTGCCTTTTGTAGGTGAATTTATTCTTTCTATACTGAATTAGAATTTATTAGAGTTTTAGAGGTGTTCAGACAATTTTGATTGTTTTCTGACATTTGTGTGATTATTGTGCCGGCATTTATAGATGTTTTGTCTCTTGTTTATTTAAAAACTGATCATGATTTTGCCAAGATCAGTGGACTAATATTGATTTAAAACAGTGCAGTTGTGGTAGTAGAAACATACAAACTGTATAATGTTATTGTTTTTTGTGTAAAGATTTCAGTGCCCTCAGCATTCAGTTTTCTGGATCATGTGCTTTATCAGGGACCACAGTCAATGGTAAGGTGAGTATAATATTGATTCAGTAATTGGTGTAGGTTTGTAGCGCAATGTGTTCCTGTTTACAACTTTAAATTTAAAATAGTCTTTCATTTAAAAAAATATTCATTAACATGCACAATGCTATATCAATTGTATGGTAGGTAAGATTATAAACTTCTAAATTAAATGGAGAAGAATGAGGAGTGAGAAGTATGAATCTAGTGACTTTCTGCAATTTCAGAGTTTAGTGTAAGCATTTGCTGTTGTGTGCTAAGATTTTATGCCTGTTGTGTTATAACCAGCAGGGTAACTAACAAAATTCCAGAAATCATACTCAAGGGCTGTACAGAAGAGAATCAAGGATGGCAGATTCCTTAAAATAAGGAAAGTTTCTTATAGAATCTTCACTTTTAGAAAGTGAAAGAACTAAAAAAGATTCTTAAGTATAGGAATGTGTCACTGGAGACCAAAACCCAAGTAATACATACTATGGTATATCCAGTTCTTATGTATGAATGTGAAGGCTGGGTAGTATGGAAAGCTTGTAGGGAAAAATTCGATATATTCAAAATGTTATGCTCAAGGATATGAGGGATGGATATCATAAGTCATCCGAAAGATAAATGGGTTCTAGATCAACTCAAGAGTAAACTGAGGATATTGCACTTTAGATATATAATGATAAGAGAAGGCTTCTCAGGAATCCTGTAATGCTAGGAAAAGGGGAAGGTAGTAGAAAAAGAGAAGAACCTAGAACTGGTTTGGAAGACCTGAGTGAGGCTGTTAATAGGATATTCCGGAGGTCATTTTCTCATATGGTCACCATAAATTTGAAATAAAATTATTTAATCACTAAAAACATAATAACAACAGATCTATCTGGGGACATTCCATGATGGAGCTACTGTCAGGAGCCAAAATGCTTATTCCAGAGACTCTTTCAAAGCCTACAGAAGGGAGGGGAGGGGAAGGGAAGAGAGTCCTGCCATGCAGGCATTTCTGTGCTAATGTGATTGGGTATAAACTGATGCCCCAACAGTAATTTTGAGAAAATATAGTATAGTAATGAATTCCACCCTGCTGAAATTCATAAGGATGGAGAAAGATGTAAACTTCCACTTTATATCATTTATGCCGCTACCTCATTATTGCTAAGTCTGATTGGCCACAATTCTCTTGGCAGAAAGGTAGAAATCTTGGTATCTTTTTATCTGAAGATGAAGAAAATGGAATGCCTTGACTGAATAAATTCTGTGATGCTGTGCTGTGTTTCTTTGTCTTCACTTTTCTGTTGCTGCACTGGACAGAAAATAAGGAAGGAGCCGGGAAGTCAACTTAGTAGCTCTGGGTGAGGAATGAGGAAATGGAAAGCCCCATTCCATATCCAGATGCTTGCTCAGAGGGTGCAAGGCATTGATGTTTTGTTTACTGTGATGGGGTTAATTTGATTTAAAAGGAGAGATATTTAATGAACCTTTCTGTGTAGGTTTTCTGTTTGCTAACTTCAATGTTTGAAAATAGAATTGCCTTACTGGAAATTAATGTTACTGCTCTGCTGAGATCACAGGAAAATCAACTCCTTGTAAGTGGAAGAGAAAATAGCTTTTCAGTTGTTGCCAGGTAAATAATAATTTCACTTAAATTTATTCTACTTTTGTTTCATTTGAATGTGTTCTGGTTTAATCACAAATCTTCCGTATGAGCTGGAAATCTGGGCTGGCCCAACCATTAGCAGAGTGAGGCAACGTCCTCAGGCGGCAGATGCTGGGAGACAGCAGCAGCAGAAAGTCCTCTGACCATTCTTTTCAGTTGGAATGCAGCGCCACATGGCCTATCTTACATCCCCTAAAATAGCCTGCTACCATTAGGTACTGAGTTTCCCTCAGTACATGGTTGGACAATGTCATCGAAGCTACCAGAATGAATTTGACACAACTCCGGGAGGCAGTGGAAAATAGGAGGGCCTGGTGTGCTCTGGTCCATGGGGTCACGAAGAGTCGGACACGACTAAACGACTGAACGACGATGATTAAGTACTGAGAAGGACAGTGTCCTGGTAGCAGTGTTGACATAAGATTCCACTCGTAGTCCGTTGATCTTCTGTTCATGGAGAGGCCCCATTGTGTTCTTAGCCTCTGGTAGCAAAATATTTTGGGCCAATTCTGATTAAAATAAAAACTGCTTCATTTAAAGTGTGATTAAAATACCTGATTCAGAATTTGGAGTACAGTGGGGTCTTGACTTGAGAACTTAATCCGTATTGGAAGACGGTTCTCAAGTCAAAAAGTCTGTAGGTCAAGTCTCCATTGACCTACAGTGCATTGAAAACTGATTAATCCCGTAACAGGCCGTTTTTGTTCCATTTTGGTTTTTTTCTGGTCTGTAAGTCAATTCTCAGGCTGCAAGTCAAACCTAAATTTTGCGGCCAGAGAAGTCTGTAACTCAAAAAGTCTGTAAGTCAAGCCGTCTGTAAGTCAAGGGTCCACTGTAATTGAAAAACTGACTGGAGGCAGAACACATTAAAGGAAGCTCTTAATCTGAGCAGAATCCTTAAGGCGTAAGAAGTCCATTTCATTAGTGGCAATATCATGCATGTACCAATGAATTTTAAAAATGTACCACATATCAAGTGGCTACTCAATGATACATCCTTCTCTTCTGCTATGCCTGTGCTGCAGCCTTTTTTTTTCCACCATAGCAATCCATCTGTAAATATTCTGACCCCAGCAGACCTGACTGGTCCCAACTATTTATCCTGAGGAACTGCCAATGAAGTTAGTAGGGCTGTTCTTCTGACTTGTCGACTGCAGTGAGGATTTCATACTAATATAAATGTTATCTATTGCTCTTAATGATTTAGGTGCTCTCTCCTGCCAACTTCTCCCTTATTTCTGAAGAGAGAGAATAGCAAACTTGCAAAAATGAAAAGTAAGTTCTGTAAATCTGAGATGAGTTTTAAATGTATTTCGCCTTGCCTCCCTCATTGCTGCAATAGTCGGGTGCAATGGCTTCAGAAAGAATAGCTACAAACCCACATCAGCTAAAGTAGTCTCACCATCTGAACCACTGTGAATGAATTCAATTACAAAAACATATAAGCCTTGAGATAAGGGAAAATTTAATGACGGGGGGGGGGGAGGAAACTCAGGGCTGATTTGCATTGACTTGCATTTAATGTAGTTCACACAAAAAAGATCTAACTGTCTCAATCCCAGAGTATTTTCTGCATTATTTGCCCATGTGGTCACCCCTTTGGCCCAGGCCACTTGTATTCACCTGCTTTGATTCTTCTTAGACTCCAATATTCAGGACCATCCCTTGTGTATGAAACTATCTCTGCACATGTACATACTAATATCTGAATACAGTGTCAGGAACACAGAAGGTGGAAATATGAGAAAGGCCTTTCTGTGTTGTAGTGATTCTAGGCTTAGTCCTTCCTGGACTTAGTCCTCCCTGTCTAACCACTCTGTTGCCAGCCGTATAATCAACAAATGAAGAACTGGCTTTTTCAGTACACATTTGAGTTTTTTGGTGTGTTTTTTTAATGGTTTGTTTTGTGTTATTTTTATTTTCTTGTTGATCTTGTTAGCCATTTTGAGTACACTGGACTGAAAAATTCAGTTAAAGTATCTAACCTCTGTATATGTATATATGTATGTAAAAGGCGTGATCATGTGGTAATCATCACCGGGTTCCCCGGTGTCGCCCATTATTGTCAACTTATACATGAAAGAAGTGGAAAAGAAGGCACTAAACACCTTCCAGGGATGACTCCAACCCATTATTTAAGATGTAGAAACCGGAACAATGTATGAAAAATAACAATATGTTTGCTACATATATTTATTTACTGTGCTATAGAGTTCATTTTTCATTTTAATTGCTGATATTTCTTGAATTCAGGTGTTAAAAGCCCAATAAAAGACCAGCCACTTGTTTTCCATAATAAAATTAAGTCATCAGGCTACACAGCAGCACCACAGTAAGTACAGTTGTGATAATAAAATTATTCAAATATCATTATCCAGAATGAGGGCAACACAACTTGGAAGGTTTGTTTGTACCAATTCAATTCAATTGTGATAACTGTTAAAAGGGAGAGGGGTTTATAACTGTCAACATTTAAAGCTGAAACCACATAATTTGTTGAGCTAGCATTATTAACCCTTTAATTAAATTATTAGATTTGACATGTGTGTTCTCACTGTTGACTGGGCCTGTTTCATCACTTCTTCAAAAGTGTTCTTTTTATAGCTTTAAAATTGCCTTCCCCAGTCTGACACATTCTTCCAGATGGACTACAAATTTATAATACAAGGAAGCAAACGGTTCCATCTGCCCAGAGAAAAACGCACCCATGACTCTTCTCCAAGACTAACTATATGCAAAGCAACTAATTTCTTAAACCAGTTTGAAATGCACATCATTAGCAAGACATTGCAGAATCTTGTGGCAAAACTACTCTACCTCCCCATAATTACTCTCTTGCACGAATTACTGCAACTGATTTCCTACCATACCTACCACTCCATGCGACATTCATACAACTAAAAGCTACTATCTTTCCGTCTTTGATGGATAATGAATTTGAGAAACAGTTTGAAAAGAGTGCCTTTGGAGTAAAACCTGCCTCTGATCTCAAATGGAGGATTAAGTTGGAATAATTTGCATGTTACCTCCCCTAAATTTTCTCTAGAAAGTTTCAGATGTAGTTCATCTGTAGTGTGCTTTCAGCCTTATTGCAGCAAAGAACAGAGTTCTATAGCACTGCAACATTTATTTTCTGAAACAGCTTCTAGAATATCCCATTAAAGAACAGTAGTTCCTAAACTTGGGCCCTGGAATGTTCTGAGACTACAGCTCCTAGAAGCCCTGAACATTGTCTGCTGGGGGGAGGGAGTAGGGCGTCTTGGAATTGTAGTTTTAAAAACAACAAGCAGGAGGTTAAGTGTGGAAACTACAGGTATCAAGTCCATTCTCTACTGAAAATGTGTGGGTACCTGAGACTCTAGGGAGGGGTGTGTGCATGTGCATATGCTCTCTGCAAGGGGCACAGGAACAAACAATACTGATGATGTTGTTTTGAAGACATTGGAAGACGGTCATATTTGCCCCATTTGACTAAAAAGTAGTGTACTTTAATGTACATATGTCAATATTTCCAAGCTCAGAATGAACACAATATCAGTTGAGGAGGATGTGTATTTATGTGAAGTGGTAGTGGTGATATATAAGTAATTTAAATTGTTGTAAGCCGCCCAGAGACCTTTGGGTAGAGTGGGCGGCATATAAATTAAATAAATAAATAAATTCATGGGATCAGAGGATGTGTAAATAGGAAATTTAACTCCTTCCTACCTTTGTACAGTCCCGAGGAAAATCTCTTTTCTGAAGCTGGTACTTGCTTTGAAAGAAATCACCCACTAACATTCATATGTCTAGTTTTACATTAAGTGCTGACATTTATGTGAATGTACATGTGCACTGAGACCAATATCTAAAGCCAGTGTCTGGAGTAGAGCAGATGGGAATGTAGAGCAGAAGTCCTACTCCGAAAGACTTCCTAGTGCTTCGTCATAAGCATTTTGATAAGCAGCAGAAAGTTTGCATTTTCAGTAAATATTTGGGCTTGATGAATAATAGGTATACTTCTTGTTTCCCACTACAGAATGACTATGTTTTCTCCAAAGACTAACACAAAGCAAAACAATTCAACATCAAAGTGCAAGAGAAGTTGCAAGCGGTAAGTAATACAGTGAACTTATTTGATTTATTTGATTTATTTGATTT